GAGCTAGACTGGACATAAAGTTTTGAGAGAAATTGTACTCCTTCGTTTAACTCTCTTGCAACTTAGTAAGAGGATAAAAATGTAAGTTGGGCTTTGATAATGTTATGATGAGCTAGATGTTCAGTACTTAGTTTAAGTTTATTCTGTTACTCAATGTCAATTAGATCCCAGTTACCTTTCAATTGGAAACAGTAGTCATAACCCAGTACCTTCAGCCCATTTGCTTTCACTTAATTTTTAGTTTATAGGAAGTTCTGTGTAAGTAGCTTAACATAGAAATAGTAGCTACTTAGGAAAATAGAAATAGTAATAGCACTATCTTTGGATAGTGTGTGATGTAGTCTGAAATAGAGGGAGTGGAAGGACAATTATATTACTGCACTTATAATTATTTGAATGAGAAGACACTGGAAGTAGGGTTTCTTAAACACACATTTCATCTAAGCACATTCAAGGCCGGGGGCTCCTCCCACTGTTATAGGGCTCACTAGATACTGTCTATAAACATTCAAATTCTCTCCACCATCAGAGCTTTAAAAACAGCTTTTGAACAACGAAATCATAAGATCAACTGTTTCCCTTCTTTTCATAAGAATCCAAGAGCTGCGGCTATGTTGGAACTCCATGGTTTCGCATTGATATGGCATTTGGGGCTGTGTGGTGGTGGTTGGGGTGTGGTGGTATGGGTGTGTTGTTTTGTGGTGCGTGCTGGGGAAGGCATTTAATTTCGTTGTGCAATAGCACAATGACAAAGCTATTCTATTCTGTTCATGAACATGAAATCTCCAGGCTGTGATTTGCTACACAAATGTCTCCATTACTCCACATTCATTATTTTGATTCCTGATTAACATGACAGAGGTTAAGCTTATACTGCTTTTGAGTATATTCACAAAATGATATTTTAAGATTGAAGTTTAAGCACTATCAAATGGGCTGGGTGCAGGTATATACTCTTAAGTGGAAACTGTGGAGCAGACTATTCATCTAACTTTTTAAAACTTCTGCTGCTGCCACGTATGATTTGTGTGCTGCCTTTAATTTCTAAGTAAAAGTACTGTAGAATTTTTATGAATGAAATGCCTCTCAGAAAATACAGGTTATGTGTGAAAAGTAAGCCCGTGTAAGCCCTAAGGTTTGTGGTAGCCATTTGTACCTAATGCAGCTTCCTGTGGGCTGCTGCCAATTGGAGGCTAATGCATCTATTGTTATTTAATATGTTTATTTAACACGCAAGTTAATAACAGTCATTTCCCAGTGACAGCACTTCTACATGCAGAATGTCCCATAAAGAGTATGTGCAAGTTTGTGTATTATATATATTTAATGTTCCATTAACGTCCACAGCTTTGACATTTTTGAACCTAAGTGGTAAATAAATAAATAAGTTTTCAGGTTCAATTTCTGACATCTTTAGTAACAGAATTCTGAGCATGGAGCTGTGAAATGCCTCTGTCAGTGGTCTTAGAGATCTCTTTGCCTGTCAGACCAGATACTAAGTAGTCTGTAAGAAGGAATAATGGTCCAGCTTGTATTCATGTGGAGAGTTGTTGACCATCAGAGTAGACAAGTCTGGATTAGAATGGTTAATGGCCTGGTCCCACTTCACAATATTTAGCTTTTTATAGGGAGAAGTAATGGGTGTCACTGACACACACAACTGAAGTACCATAGTGAAGGTGCCTAATTGCTCCCCACTCCTAATAAATATGCCATATTTGCTCAAATTAAACAGCCAAAAGTGAGATGCACATTAGATTTGATGGCACATTGGAATTGCACACATAAATCTGTCAGTCTCAACCAGAGAGAGGGGCACAAACCCACCAGCCTCAGCCTGATGAAGGGGCACAGATTTCCAACTGGCCTTATTGACAAAGCTTTCAACCTGCCCTCCCCCCAATTTTGAGAAGTACCACCCATCCGTGGGCCACGGCTTTGGAGGTAGGCAACAGAATTACATTCCACAACACATCTTTTTCTTTTCTTTTTTTCTTTTGCAATGTGCACTTTCAAAATTGAGGTGCACATTGCTATTGATGGCACATGGTACTTGAGTAAGTATGGTAGCTTCTGCGGCAAGTTTTGCCCCATCAGTTGAGTCCTGTCTTACAGCCAGTGCCCCTTACTTCACTAAGTATGACTGAAAATGACCACTTCTCATAATATAATGTCCGTAAGAAGGAATAATGGTCCAGCTTGTACTCATGTGGAGAGTTGTTGACCATCAGAGCAGACAAGACTGGATTAGAATGGCTAATGGCCTGGTCCCACTTCACAATATTTAGCTTTTTATAGGGAGAAGTAATGGGTGTCACTGACACACACAACTGAAGTACCTCAGTGAAGGTGCCTAATATGAATATGAACATCAGTTTACAAAGGAAAGAGCCTATGTATTTAAATGATTTCTAGAGCTAAGTTAATGGGTGGCTGCAAGAAATAGCTATACAAATGGCTTACGCATCACAACAGGATTTGTATTTTCTAAATTATTAGCAAGTGCCTGAGTTGTTTGCAATAGCTGTAAATTTGGTATTGGTTGCAGGGTTTACTATCTTGAAAATCCCAGTTTTGATGCTTTAAAACAAATGTCTTATTCTTGCTAAAGATGGGAAGACCTGGGGGGGAAAAACAGAAATATGGGGAGGGGGCTAAAAAAAACCAGAAAAATTGGGTGTGTGGAAAAAACCTCCCCCCCCCCCCAATTTTTCCTGGGTTTTTTTTTCTAGTCCTCACTGAGAAGGTTTTCAGTTGCAAGTACCTGAAGTATGCGCAGAAATGCCCAGATCCATATTATACATCTTCTTCTCTTAGGTGATCCCTTGTAGTCCGAGGATGAGGGTCCTCCAAGTTTGGTGTCCCGGGGGTGGGTTCGTAGGTGACTGTGGAGCCCTATTCTTGACCTGCATCTTCTCCCACACTGAGGGCATTGGTTTCCAGGTGGGAGGCGGTCTCGGTCGGGGTTGGCTTGACGTGTCTTCCTCTTGGCATGTTTTTCTCTTTCTCCCTCCATTCGTGCCTCTTCAAATTCTGCAGCACTGCTGGTCACAGCTGACCTCCAGCTGGAGCGCTCAAGGGCCAGGGCTTCCCAGTTCTCAGTGTCTATGCCAGAGTTTTTAAGGTTGGTTTTGAGCCCATCTTTAAATCTCTTTTCCTGCCCACCAACATTCTGTTTTCTTGAGTTCGAAGTAGAGCAACTGCTTTGGAAGACAGTGGTCGGGCATTCGGACAACGTGGCCGGTCCAGTGGAGTTGATGGCGGAGGACCATTGCTTCAGTGCTGGTGGTCTTTGCTTCTTCCAGCACGCTGACGTTTGTCCGCCTGTCTTCCCAAGAGATTTGCAGGATTTTCCGGAGGCAGCGCTGATGGAATCGTTCCAGGAGTTGCATGTGACGTCTGTAGACAGTCCACGTTTCGCAGGCATATAGCAGGGTTGGGAGGACAAATAGCTTTATAGACAAGCACCTTGGTATCCCTACGGATGTCCTGGTCCTCAAACACTCTCTGCTTCATTCGGAAAAATGCTGCACTCGCAGAGCTCAGGCAGTGTCGTATTTCGGTGTCGATGTTGACTTGGGTGGAGAGGTGGCTGCCAAGGTAGCAGAAATTATCAACATTTTCTAATGTTACACCATTAAGCTGTATCGCTGGCATTGGAGAAGGGTTGGCTGTTGTCTGCTGGAACAGCACTTTGGTTTTCTCGATGTTCAATGACAGACCGAGCTTCTCGTATGCTTCTGCGAAGGTGTTTAGAGTGGCTGGTAGATCTTCTGGATGTGCACAGACGACATTGTCATCAGCATACTGGAGTTCTATAACAGCTGTTGTTGTAACCTTGGTTTTGGCTTTCAGTCTGCTGAGGTTAAACAGCTTGTCATCTGTCCGATAGATGATTTCCACTCCTCTGGGAAGCTTCCCATCAACAAGGTGAAGTATCCAAACTATATCATTTGATATAGTATCAAAGATGTCATTGAAGGTTGATTTTGTTCCCTGCATTTTTCTTGGAGCTGACGTGCAGTGAAGATCATGTCCACTGTTCCTCTGGAGGGGCGGAGGCCGTTCTGGGATTCTGGGAGGGTGTCTTCTGAGAGGGGTAGAAGTCAATTTGCAAGGATTCTTGCGAGGATTTTCCCAGTGGAAAATCATCCCGTGCATTATTAGTAAAGCTATGATCTTAGTGGCCACTTTTTGCCACTTCGTAACAAGTGTTAAGCATATCTGGAAATGACTTGGTGCTAAATCATATTATATCCCTGTATTGTATCTGGGATTGGAAATTCATATGTGCACATAATATCTTCAGGTAACTAATTGATCCCTGTATTCATGCAAGATGTAAATGATTTTTGATGGACATCAAAATGTAGAAAACAAAGTATTTTTAATTTGCAGATTGTTTCCTTGTGGTTATAAAATCATATTTGTTGGGGGGGAAAATTCCACAAGATGAAAGTGTATATCTTGGAAATGAGTTTATCCTTAAAAGTAATACAGTACATAAAACTACGTATTTTTTAAAATCTTGGGGAGATGAAGAATAATCATGCATTCACCAGAAAGTGTGTGCACGCGCACACACACTTTCCACTGACTAAATGGAAGCTTCAGAATATCATACTACTGCTGGAGGAAACACTATGACTGTTGTGCAACTTTATGAACCTACAGGAGGTTACTAGAGAAGGGTCCCGGGCTGTAAACTGTCCCCATCAGTGAGATGTGGAGGTGGCTTAGTTCCTGTTTGCATGGTTGACAAGGACTACCATGGCTGCCTGCAGTAGCAAGTGCCTGTGATCCAAGCCTGTAATACACTCTGGCTGCTTTGTAATAAGTGTTTTAAACTCTTTGGATATCATTGAAGACTGTTATAATGCTGGGCGTTACCCATACAGCCCTCTTCCTTTTGCTGCCATTTAGTACAAATAGACACAGTAAAAGCTGATAACCAATTTCAGCTTTCAGTGAAAACACCAAAATATTTTTGTGTCCCATAGGTGGCAGCAGCACCCCACAATGCCAGCTGCCGCCCTGCAGCCAGGTTGCCTCTCTTGGCCGCTCTCTTCATACTGAGACAATCATGTCGAGCCAGCACAGCCATGCTCCCTTCTCCAGCATCCAGCCTATGGCTGAGCATCAGCAGGTAATCTCCCTGATTCAGCCAGCAAGTGTTTCCCTGATTGAGCTCTCTTGATTTTAGAATACATGCTTGCAAATGTATGCAACTCTTCTTGGCTGCATTCCCACTCTCAACCTGTAGCTATTCGAAGCATATCTTACATTATGGCATATAAAGCTGTGAAGCCCTGTGTGTTTTGTTTGTACTGTAGAAACCACTGTAGTCAGACCAAGGCCCAAGATTCAGCCTGTAGACGAAACTAATATGGGGTGGGGTGTGCATCACTAGGAGTAGCAATGATGTGTGCAGAGAGCCACTTTTCACGAGCCCAAAGCATGTATCATCCTCTTTGCTACACCATCAGAGAAGGTAGATTAAGGAAACAATTTGCATCTACTGAATTAAGAAGTTGTTCTTTGTGTCACCTCTCTGCCAAGGAAGTGATGCAAAAAGAAAACACGGTTTTCACTATAAAAGCCTTCATGCACCACAGCTCCCCATTGACTGCTGGTCTGCTTCCCGCACAGCATCATTTTAAGGCAATGTGCATAGAGTTCACTTGTCTTTCTTTTGTGTGACAGATCATGCCAGACCTGGCCATTCTGCAGAGGAGAATCCCACTCACTTTCCGGGACTCCGCCACAGCCCCATTACGCAAGCTGTCTGTGGACCTTATCAAAACATACAAACATATCAACGAGGTAAGAGGACTGTTTTCATGGTGTCATCTTTGAAGCAGGAAAAATGATGTTTTAAACATAATTGCAGTGTGTCTTGTTTCCGTGCTCATTAATTATGAAATCATCTCTTGTCCTGCCAAGAGGTTCCGGGCAATTTAGTTTACCATGAGAAGACCAAACTCTCCATTTTAAAGTCTGTTCTGTAATGTGTGTTGATCCTGCCTTTTGTTGCCAGGTCTATTATGCCAAGAAGAAGCGCCGAGCCCTTCAAGTGGCACCAGAAGACACCAGCACCAAGAAGGAGCGGAAAGTACACAACGAGGGATACGATGATGACAACTATGATTACATAGTCCGCAATGGGGAGCGCTGGCTGGAACGTTATGAAATCGACTCACTTATTGGCAAGGGGTCCTTCGGACAGGTTAGGAGACAATCCATGGGCAGAGAAGTGTTCTGCATCTGCTTATATAACCACATAGCAAGCTGCATGCCATATTCCTTTGAGAATTAATAAGATTGTTTCTTACCAGTAGACATTATTTGCATGGATAAATCAAAGGATGTACCCCACAATTACAATAACACAGTGATTTGCCAAAAAGGAGAATAGATATGGCTCTTGGTAAAGCTCATAATTATTGTAAAACTTGCTACATTTAGCCCCGAGCATGATTATCCAAGGCTGGGACCTCACAAAGTCTTGGGCTATTCTGTTTCCCATCCTGGTGTAATATTGAATTAGTAATTTATTCAGGTAGTTGAATTTTGAATTTTCTTATCACCATTGCTAGGCTTCCCCTGCAGATTTCCAGGGCTGGGTGGCTCAAATAGGTCTTCCCTAGCTTGGCACAGTACAGATTGATACTGACAAATGGGAAAATGATTCTAATGTGTCTTTCTTTTTACCTATTAAGGTGGTAAAGGCTTACGACCAACAGGCTCAGGAGTGGGTGGCTATTAAGATAATCAAGAACAAGAAGGCATTTTTGAGCCAGGCTCAGATTGAATTGCGGTTGCTTGAGCTCATGAACCAGCATGACACTGAAATGAAATACTATATTGGTGAGAGTTGGAAATCAACCATGTTTTTGGTGGTAGTGGGGAGTGTTTTTGGAATTAGATGAAATGTTAATGGACAAGAGTCAACAATGCTGAGATGCACCAGAAGTGAAATCCGTGGGGCTTCAGACTCATGAGAAAACTCTTGTGATAAAGTGATTGAAGGCAGGGCTGAAATATATGTGAGGAAGCTGTTTGGTATCCTCTGAACTTAAAAGAAAGATTTGTCACTAATTGGTTATATGTACGTAATGTGAGTTATTTATTTATTATTTATTTACTTCTTTTTTGTCCCGCCCTTCTCACCCCTCAGGGGACTCAGAGTGGCGTACAACATTCATCTAAGCAAAAATTCAATGCCTCATTATACAAATAATATAAAACATAACATACAATCACTAGAAACAATTAGCATATAAATAACATTTAAAACCATTAAACATAATAACCCCATACACAGATAAAATATTGGACCCATCCTTTAAGCACCATACCTGGGCCTCCCCCTTCTTCAGTTATTCTTCAGTTACTATGAAAAATTATCATGTTAAGGGCCCACAAGTCTTAACTCCATACAGGAAGTGTTCATGGAGATGTTGCATGAGCTGGAATGCATGAGTGTCACTGTTTCATATTCTGTCACCCTTTCTTCTTTCAACTCCAGTGCACTTGAAGCGGCATTTCATGTTCCGGAGCCATCTGTGCCTGGTATTTGAGTTGCTGTCCTACAACCTGTACGACCTGCTCCGTAACACCAACTTCCGAGGTGTCTCTCTCAACCTCACACGCAAGTTCGCCCAGCAGCTGTGCACAGCACTGCTCTTCCTGGCAACACCTGAGCTCAGTATCATCCACTGTGACCTTAAGCCAGAGAACATCTTGCTGTGTAACCCTAAGCGCAGTGCCATCAAGATTGTGGATTTTGGCAGCTCCTGCCAACTGGGCCAGCGGGTGAGTGACCACCTGACCTCACCTTTCCAACCATAATCTTTCTAGAAGTGCCAGAACTGACAGCCTGGTTGACATTAGTCTTTTCTGCATAGCTGAACCACTTTCTTCATTTTCAGGGTGTCTTCAGCTTTGCCTTCTTTAAATTGGAATTTGGAAGGCATGGGAGCAGCTTGCTTGTTCCAGCCAACAGCAACCGAAATCAGTCCCAACTATTATAAGTTCCCATTCCCTGGATACAGCATTTGACAGTATCATGCATTTTGTTTCTGCAGATCTACCAGTACATCCAGAGCCGATTTTACCGCTCACCTGAAGTGCTACTGGGCATGCCTTATGATCTGGCAATTGACATGTGGTCCCTAGGCTGCATCCTAGTAGAGATGCACACAGGGGAGCCCCTCTTCAGTGGTGCCAATGAGGTAGGTGAAGTTTAGTATACGTAGTCCCTGCGTTACATACAAGATAGATTCTGTAGGTTTGTTCTTAAGTTGAACTTGTATGTAAGCCAGAACAGGTCTAGCGCGCACTGTTGACTGGTTTGGGAAAGGAGCACTGCATTGTCAAAAAGTGCACTCTTCTAATGTGGCCAAAAGTGCATTCTTAGAATCCCTTCTTTAAAAACAAAAGTTTTAGAACACCAAAACTTCCAACCATGGAAAGGACAACAAGGAGCCTCTCCTGTTTCTACTTCGTGGTCTCTGTGAAATCACACGTATCAGTCTTTTGTGCAGGTACAAGGCAGCTCTGAATTCTCTATAGCTTTAAGAAACTCTTGGTGGTAGATCCGCCCACCCTGGCCTGGCGGATATAACCATCAGGTGAAGCTAGCATCTCCACTCCTTTTTGTGCGCAGTGTTAGCAGCAGCAAGAGATTTCTCTTAGATAAGTTTCCTTATTAAGTGTTGATTCTCCTGCCTACTGCAGTTTCTTTTCATATTGACCTTCAGTTTGTTTGGCTTCTCTTCTGTTACTCCTACTTGGTGGTTTTTCCTGTGTTTGACTTGGACTGCTTTCACTATGTCTTTGGCTGCCCTTTCAGTACTTTTCAGTATTGACTTAAGTCTCGATTGACTACTACTGTGAGTATACTAATTTTGGGGCTTGCTTCTTCCCTGTACTTCTCTTATTCACCTGCTTTCTTTCACGGTGTTTACCTTTTTAAACCAATGTGTGGCGGAGGAAGGCTTTGCAGGCACTGATGGTCACTCTTATGTGTCTGCTCTGCTTGGGGGAGGCTCATGTGCTGAAGATGTTGCCAAACTTTCACCCCCAAGTATGGAAGAAGCAAGAAGCATGCTCCTTTAGAATGCTCCTTTATGAGCAGGCGTTTACAACCTTACCTCCTGGCCAAATAAATTGGATATGTTGGAGCTGCCGCACAGTGGCTGGTCCCATGCTGAAGAAGTCATGCCTTTCCCCCTTCGCATCAAGAGAGGCACCACACAGTGCCAAAAGCCCTCAAAATGAGGCAAAAGGGCATGAGGAGAGAAATGCTATATAGGTTTATGCAGTGTCCTTTGCTGCCAATATAGAAATTCACAAACGGAAGCAGGAGTACAATGGCTCATTTTCAGAAATATGCAAAGTATTTGCTCTCAGTCTGAGTGACAAATCATCCATAGACAAGAATACCTCCAGAAGCAACAAGTCCCATCTGTACTTACCACGCCCTTGTGTGTTGACATGGACACTGGTGTACTTGACTCTCAGGTATTGCCTCCCTTACAGCACACCTCTGCACTTTGCAGAGTCTCTGCCACTGGTGGGAGGGAACTCAGAGCAGCATCAGCTGCCGTTGAAAATGCTGCTAGAGGGCTTGGGCGCTGCCGCATTCCCTCCCTCCAACAATTTGGCCTCCCCACTATCGTAAGGTCGGTGTTTCCCTGCACGCCAGCTGAGGCAGCCGCCAGAGGTCTCTGCACAGCCAAGCCTCCCATTGCTGCCGCTTTTCCCTTCGTCTACAGAGCTATCCCGCTTATTATCAAAGGCACTATAATCCAGCCACCGTGAGGACCCAGACAATCTCAGATTGATACAGCTACAAGACATCCTCTCCCCTCCAGTGGCTGCCAACAGGCAAGCCAGTTTTGCCGACAAGCTTATCCCTCGCCTACAGGAAGGGCGACAGGCTTCAAATTTTATTGTCCTGCACCCAGTGCACCCTTAGATGTTGATGTTTCCTTTATACCCATTGTGGTCCCAGTGCCACTTGTGGCCTGTGGTGATGTTGCTTCATCATTCACTCTGGCACCAACGTGTTCTGGATCACTCCCCCTTTTTTCTAGAGTCATGGTGCGAAATCACGATGGACTATTGGGTCTTGGAAATTGTCAGAACTGTCTATACCATCCGGTTTGCTAGCCTTTCCCCAGTTGTGCACCTTCAGGCTATACCCCTTCCGCCCCCTATGAAAGGAGGTACAGGACTTGTTCCAGAAAAGTATGATCTGGCAGAATATCCCAAATGTTTCTGGAAGCAACAGGCAGTGGAAAGATCCTGGACTTCTACATATTAAATCGTTTCACTAAACCACTCAGCATCAAAATGATAACATTGCCTATTATTCTGTCATTGCTCAAAAAGAGGGCCTGATTTGCAATAGGACATCAGGAAGATAATTGTTTTAATATTTCTGTCAGGACTCAGCATCATAGGTTTCACTTTTTTTTGATGGGCGCTAGGTGTATTCATTTAATGTTCTTCCTTTTGGCCACTGTACAGGGCCTCGGCAGCTCACCTCTTCCTTAAGGCCATAATGGTGGCTCCTTTATATTGTTGATGAGTCATTGGGGCTGACTCTGTATCTCAGCTCACCTTGCATCCACCTTGTCTCCCCTCCAGAGACTCGACTTGGTGGTCATCCATGAGAGGTCTACTCTTGTGCCAACTCAACACACCTGTGTCATGTTGGAACCCATCAAAGAAAAGGCCTACCTTCTGGAGACCCATTTTCAGGCCTTGGGTCCACAATACTGAGAGCATCAGTATCTTGCCACATGCTTGCCAGAAAATGCAATACAATTCTGGACCATATGGCATTGACCATTGCTATCGTTCCCTTCGTGAGGATCCACATGCAGACAGGATTCTTGGGAGCGTGCAATGCTCTCTGCGACAGCCCAAACACTGTGCTGTTTCTCCCTCCCAAGGTCATGCAATCCCTCAGCTGAGGGTTGCACCATGCCAACATCTCCAGCAGAGTGCCTTTTTAGCACATACAGCCCTCTCAAACACTTGACGACACACTCCTCCCCATATGGATGGGGAATGCATATGGACCTCTTGATGGTCCAAGGATTGTAGTCACTATTATTTTTTTTATTTTTTTACTTCACTTGTATACCGCTCTTCTCAGCCATTAGGCGACTCAGAGCGGTTAACAACCAGTATCAACAATACAGTACAAAATCATTAATCATTTAAAACAGTAATATCCATTAATTAACATCAGAACATCAATACAACAATACAGGAAAACAACAATCCATCACGTCTCATCAATAGAATCAGCATCCAGTCTCGTTGTCCATTAATCCATATTCCAATAATCAATCAATTGTACTGCTTAGTTGAAAGCCTGTTCGAAGAGCCAGGTCTTCACTCTCTTCCTGAATGCCAATAAGGAGGGGGCCGATCTAATGTCTGTAGGAAGGGCGTTCCACAGCCGGGGGGCCACTACTGAGAAGGCCCTGTCTCTCGTCCCCGCCAGGCGTGCTTGTGAAGCTGGCGGGACCGAGAGCAGGGCCTCCCCAGACGATCTTAACGTCCGAACTAGTTCCTAGGAGGAGATGCGTTTGGACAGGTAGATCGGGCCAGAATCATTTAGGGCTTTAAAGGCTAAAGCCAGCACTTTGAGTTGTGCCCAGTAGCAAATTGGCAGCCAGTGGAGCTGGCGCAACAGAGGAGTTGTATGCTCCCTGAGTGCCGCTCCTGTTAGCATCCTGTCTGCCGCTCGTTGGACCAATTGAAGCTTCCAAGCAGTCTTCAGAGGCAACCCCACGTAGAGAGCGTTGCATTAGTCTATACGGGATGTAACCAGAGCGCAGACTACCGTGGCCAAGTCAGACCCGAAGGGAGGCATTAACCACCACCATTACCCACTCGGCCAATCCCCCTCTGGCTTCCTTCAAAAGCCAGGATGGGCAGGGGTCTAGGATGCATGTGGTAGGCCTCATTCCTCCAAGTATCTTGTCCACATCCTCGGGTTTCACCAATTGAAATGAATCCATCAAAACTGGGCAAGCAGATGCTCCAGCTACATCCTCAGAGACTGCCGTTAATATGGTATCCAGGCCAGAGCGGATCAAAGTGATTTTGTCTGCGAAGAACCGAGCAAAGGCTTCACAGCAAGCTGCTGAGTTGCCAGGGCTCCCATCCTGAGTGGTGGGATTTAAAAGTTCTCTGACAACTCGAAACAGTTCAGCCGGACGGTTCTTCGCAGACGCAATAGTGGCCGCAAAGAAAGAAGGACACAAACCGTGCTCGATTTGGCTCGCTCGGATCCGAACACCACACGCTCTCTAGTTCCCTCTTCTTTTGCTTCATCGCTGCCAACTCCTCGTTGAACCAAGGAGCTGGTTTAGCTCGGCTAATTGAGAGGGGACATTCTGGAGCAATCGTGTCTATTGCCCTAGTCATCTCCCCATTCCAGAGAGTGACCAGGGCATCAACAGGATCACCTACCGAGGTGGCGGGAAACTCCCCAAGAGCCATCAGGAATCCATCCGGATCCATAAGCCTCTTGGGGCGGACCAGCTTAATGGGTCCCCCACCCCTGCAGAGGTTAGGGGATGCAGTAAGTCTAAATCTGACTACAGAAACAATGGCACCTCATCAATTATTTTGAGTTGCTTGTGGTACAGGAGATGCTCTGGGCATCCCAGGAATCCCTTACGGACCAGGTGATTCAGTTGTTGACTGACAATACCTTTCATTCTACATCAACAAACAGGGAGGGATGCATTCCCTTAGTCTGCTCAACATCACTATTCAGATCTGGACTTGGTGCATCCGACAAAGGGTTCACCTAGCGCGCTCCATCTTCCCATAGAGGAGAATGTTTTGACAGATTCCTTAAGCAGGACTCTGGCCTCCGCTCATGAGTAGCAACTGCACCCGCAGCAGACTCAGCTCATTGCCATTGGGGTATTCCCCGAGTGGACACCTATGCTCCCTCCCTCCCTCCACACTTGCCGCCACCTGCAGATAAGTTGCAGATATCTACGCAATGCCTTTCTCTTCACATGGTGGCCAAGGCTCCTCTTTGTTTTTCCTACTGCACCACTAATAGCATGAACTTTAGCAAAGTCCTGAGGGACATGGTGGACTGCATCCTCATCACCCCATTGTGATCCTGGCAACCTGGGTTTGCCTCACTGTTACAGGCTTCTAGCAGTGAGTTCCACCGCTGCCACTTACAAGGACTCCACAAATTGATCTTACCCTGCAACTGAAGATGTTCTCTTTCTTCTCACAGAAGGCTGGTGTTGACCTTCCCACAGAGCCTACTCCTGTAGTCCTTAATTTTTGCTCTCACAATCAGAGCAAGGACTCTCCTTTTCCTCCCTGAAATTTTATCTAGCTGCCATCTCTTTGTTACAGGCGGAAAGCAGAACATTTGTCCTATTTTCAGGACCCCTCATTCAACTGTTCCTGAAGGGCTTAGGACCATTCACCCGCTGGTGCATCCTCCAACCTAAGCAGGGAGTTTGGACCTCATCTTGTCCCAACTATTGACCCCCCCCCCGCCCCCTTTTGAGCCCATGTCATCGGCAAAGCTTATCGCTAGGATGCTCTGGGCAATTCAGTCTTTTCACAGAGTTTTTCCTCTTTGATCATTTCAACTACCTGGCTGGCCTGCCAACTCACAGACAGATTCCTTCCATCCTAAATCAGCAACAACTGTTGCACCCTTTCAGATCATCTTATATGGAATGCCCCAAAGATTTGCCTGGCTACAGTCTGGTCAACCCCACGCACTTTGTGTTCCACTTCAAGCGGGATGATTTCTCCAGGAGCAACGCTGCCTTGGCAGAGCTTTGCTTGTTTCTTGTGGGGCATAACTCCCTCTTCCAAGTTGGGAAGCTCACTAGTCACCCGTATGTGTGATTTCACAAAAACCATGAAGGAGGAGGTTTGGTTGCTTACCTGTAGCCATGTTTCTTTGAGTGGTCATCTGTAAAATTAGCATATCCCCACCCATCCTCCCTGCTGTTCCTCAGTTAGCAGCTAGGAAATGAGGTGCTAGCCCCAACTGATGGCTATATCCTCCAGGGCAGTGTGGGCGGGGCTACCATCAAGAGTTTCTTAAAGCTATAGATAATTCCAAGCTGTCTTGCACCTGCGCACAAGTCCCATATGTGCGAATATCATAGATGACCACTCGAAGAAACATGGTTACAGGTAAGCAACCAAACCTTTTCCTGCCTCAGATACCTTAGGGTGCATCTGTGCCATGGAATGAATGCATCTTGACATCACAAACTACCCTGTTCGTAACTAGGAGTTGTATGTAAATCAGATTTTTATAACTTGGGAACTGCCTCTACTTGGTTATTCTGCTCACAATGGCTCATTATAAAGCTGATATTTAGCCAGGTAGATATCCTTGCCTACTCAACAAAGAAGGCTTGAACCTCCGTGCACCCTCCATGTTGGGATAGAAAGCATAACACCAGAAAATATTGTTATTTCTGATTACTGATTAGAAATAGGGGTGAAAATCCATTCCTACCTCCATTCCTGTTAGAATGCTGAACACTATTTATTTATTTACCATATTTATATACCGCCTTTCTCAGCCCGAAGGCGACTCAGAGCGGTTTACAAATTGCACAATTCAATGCCTACAAAACAAAGAACAATTAAACATTTAGAATAAATAACATTTGATAAAATAAAATGAAATCGATAAAAATATAAATCCACAGTGTCTCATTACTAAAATCATTACCCAATTGCATTGTCCAGTTGTTCCGAAGATCAGAGTTTGTCTGCTACACTGCATTTGGGAAAGCTTGCTCAAAAAGCCAGGGGTTTTTTCGAAATGTTAGGAGGGTGAGGGCCAATCTGATATCCCTAGGAAGGGCGTTTCATAGCCGAGGGGCCACAGCTGAGAAGACCCCGTCCCTCGTTCCCGCCAACTGAGTCCGTGAAGAAGGCGGGACCGAGAGCAGGGCCTCAGAAGATCTTAGGGTCCTAGATGCTTCGTAAGGAGAGATACGTTCAGACAGGTAAGCTGCGCCAGAACCGTTTAAGGCTTTATAGGTTAAAGCTAGCGCTTTGAATTGTGCTCGGTAGCAGACTGGCAGCCAGTGGAGCTGACGCAACAGAGGAGTTGTGTGCTCCCTGCGTGCCGCTCCTGTTAACAACCTGGCTGCTGCCCGTTGGACCATTTGAAGCTTCCGAACAGTCTTCAAAGGCAACCCCGTAGAGAGCGTGTATTAAAGGAGATTTCCTGTTAATGACTACATTTGGTTAGTATGTGGATTTTTTTCCTTACAGACATGGAGACAGAAAGCATGTTTGGAGTATACATTTCATCTATCCTCTATCCCCAGATCCAAATAATGATTACTGGCATTATATGTCTTAGATTCAGTGCAAAAGGCAATGGAAGTTTCTGGAGACACATGAGTATATTTGTGATTCACTGACATAAGTGGATTTAAGAGGCCGCTGAATGAATAAGGGTTGAGCTTTGGAAGCCATTGGGAGTTGTAGTCCTCTGATGTTGTGCATTTCTCTTGCAGGCGGACCAGATGAGCCGGATTGTGGAGGTCCTTGGGCTCCCGCCACCTCACATGTTGGAGCAGGCTCCCAAGGCTCGGAAATACTTTGAGAAGCTGCCTGAGGGGGGCTGGGTCCTCCGGCGGGGCAAAGATGGCAGGAAGGTAATGTTCAGCACAGCTCACGCTTCATTCCCCCATATTTCCATCAAGGAGCTTAAGGCCAGTGTAGCAGAAGCAAATTTGTGACATTAGCACACTTTAAATTTACCTTAAATCATTGTGTCCCCTAGTATCTATACAATATCCCAGAGTACTTGTAGGGTATCAGCACAAACACAAAACAGTCTATGTATAATGTCAAAATTATACCAGCCTCCACCACCACCATTTTCATACCCAGGCATTCAAAGAGGCCCCACTCAGAAAAGAGGATGGTTCATATGTATGTATGTATGTATGTATGTATGTATGTATGTTCATGTACAGTGTTAACTATTGTCAACACAGGAGCCAACCCGTTGTCTGAATGGAGTGGAGAAAGATGGGTGCTTAGTGATTCCTGGGAGAACCTAAACGATCACAGACCCTCTCTACTCTCCCAGTATTAAGTGTCTTTTGCACTACAAATAAGATATGTGCAGTGTGCATAGGAATTCATTCATGGTTTTTTTTTTCAAATTATAATCCAACAGTTTGGGAGACTGTGGCCTGACACCTTTGATGGGAAGCCCCAAAGAGCCACCACTGCTGACATTTGCCAGCCAAGACATTTAAAAAAGCCACAAGTGGCACAGTGGCAGAGAGATGGGGAAGTTGGTGGTGGTTTTAGGTTCTCCCAGGAATCACTAAACATTCATCTTTCTCCATTCCACTCAGAGAACAGGATGGTTCTATTTTTCATAAGAGTTAAGGTACAGTACCTACATTGACCAATGGATAAGTCAATGCAGGTGTTGGGGGTTGATTTCTGGACTAAAATTTCTAAACGTACACATGAGTAAGCGGTTTTGTAATCATTTGCTCAGCAGTGGAATTCAGTTTAACTATGCTGGCATATATTTATACCTCTGGAAATGCGCATTGGTCATTGTTTCTGCTAGAAAATAGCTTATTTTTCTATTGTGATATGTTGTTTCTTCTTCATGGTCTTTGTGAATCACACAAATGGGTTAGCCTGTATAGAGCAGTGCTCTGAACCTTCTAGAATTCTAAAGATACATATTTGTGATGACCCTGTCCACTCTCCCAGCCAGTGTATTATGTGAGTCCCGCCAAATCCCCAGTTCCTTTTTGTCCGCTGCAGCATTACAGGAACTTGCAGTGTTTGTTTTTTAATCTCTCAGCTTGGTTCACAGTTTTCTTTTGAATGTCCCTTGACACTTACACTATTCTTTAATTTTCTCTGTAGTCCAGGGGTCCTCAAACTAAGGCCTGGGGGTCGGATGCGGCCCTCCAAGGTAATTTATCCGGCCCTCGCTCAGGGTCAACCTAAGTCTGAAACGACTTGAAAGCACACAACAACAGTCCTATCTCATCAGCCAAAAGTAGGCCCACACTTCCAATTGAAATACTAATAAGTTTATATTTGTTAAAATTGTTCTTCATTTTAATTATTGTATTGTTTTTAAGTGTCTTTTGCACTACAAATAAGATATGTGCAGTGTGCATAGGAATTCATTCATGGTTTTTTTTTTTCAAATTATAATCCAACAGTTTGGGAGACTGTGGCCTGACACTCTGTTTAAAAAGTTTGACGACCGCTCCTCTAGTTTCTAAATGTTTCCTTGGCCTTCCACATCCACATCAGACTGTTTTAAGACCACACTTCTTTTCTCCTGCCCCAGATCTCAGAATGTTTACCATATATGTTCATATATGTTCTACATTACATTTTTAAAGAAATGTATGTAGTGTGGGTGCAAGATCCCCAATAAGAATGACCATAACAAGTGCCTCTTTTGTCTGGGTGAGGGCCACATTGCTTAGACCTTTATATCTCAGGCATGGAAAAGTCAAGAGGCCTGCCTGAAAGCCTTGCTGTATAAAAGATCTTGGCTCTGGCACTTCCATTGATTAAGAGACCTCCAGCACATCGAAACTGCTGATCCCACCAAAATTGCATCTGCACCTTTGGTCTTGTCTGCTCTCACAAAGTTGACCTTGGGACCACCTCTGGGCCGCCTCCCTCAAAACCATCCCTATGTTCCAAATCTTAGCACCATTGTCCAGATTCGGATAAGGACGCCTTTACATTGTCTAGCTCAGGGATGAGCCCCTCATCCAATTCACTAGTGGCAGAACCTGACCCACCCTCTCCAGCTGACAATCTGAGAGTCTTCTCAAATCAGATGCTCAATTTCACCGGTGTACTCAGTCTCAAGATCCATCAGTCTACCACTGTCGTAGATGAACCCATATTTTAGGACATACAGAAGCAATTTTCCCCTGCTGCTTTCCCTCCATTTCTTCCATACCTGCTCCTCAACATTTATGAGGGCATGCCCTCCCATCTGCATCAACCCTCAGTGACGATAACATTAGATTCGTTTCTACTGAGTTGGGGAGCCCACTGCAGGAGGGTCTCATAGTGGAAGGTGAATGGTCTTTGATCGAGGTGCAGGAACACTTTAACTTCCTGGAGCTTCTTGCTGTCTTCAAGGCCCTCAAGATAGATAGCATAGATGAGGTTGTTCAGTTGGTGACTGACAATTCCACAGTGATATCCAACAGGCAGGAGTACTCAATCAAGGAAACTACTGGGTGTGGCACTGAAGATCCGGGACTGATGTGTACAGTACAAGACCTTCCTTAATGCTATACACCAAAAGACATCAGCCACCTGGCAGACACTGTGAGCGAGACATCACACTGTTGTCACAATCAGCAGCTCCACCAAGAATCCTTTCATCCCTTGTTTCAATGATAGGGAGACACATAAATCAGTCTCTCCACATCATCGACCAACACTTGATACTATTTTGCTCATGGGTTCAAGCCACTGATACCAACAACTCTCTGAGACGTGTTCCTCTTCAATTCCCCTACTGTATGCCTTCCCACTGATCCTCCTCACCAGGGCCTTGGTGAAGATCAGTCGAGAAGCCCAGCTGTTTCCTCGTCACTCCATGTTGACTCAGGCAGCTGTGGTTCGTAACCCTCCTGCTATCTGAGGGAAGATATTAATTTTGGTATCTAGCCAATCTCCTGACAGTCCAAGGTTGGGATTTTCTTGAGTGTTCTGACACCTCTCAATTATCTGCCTTAACATTGTACATTTTAGATTTTCCTGTTTCTCTGTCTGACAGGAGTCTTTTATTGCATCTATCAAATGTTGTTTGGGTGCCATTTCTTGGCACTATCATAAGTTAGGGGAATAATAATAATAATAATAATAATAATAATAATAATAATAATAATCTTTATTTATACTCCGCCACCATCTCCCCAACGGGGACTCGGAGCGGCTTACATGGGGCCAAGCCCAAACAACAGCTTCAATATAAAAATACATATTGCTGTAAAATAAACAACATAACATTAAAGTGTAACACATCAAAACATATAAAACAATATACACAGAGCATCGAAACCAAACATAATGACAGAGAACGGGCCGCATATACATAAAATGATTTAAAAACTGAGTGAGATAAGGGGGCAGAACTAATTGTAAGGGAGAACTCATAGAGAGACAGAAAAATAAACAAACCTTCGTACGTGGGAGAGGGGGGGAACTCCTGGGACAAGAACGTTGAGGGAGCAGTAGCATAAAATTCTTTACTTTCTCACATGAAAGACTGCCTTTCTTATGGCCATAACACCTGCCAGGCATGCCAGTGAACTCTTTTGCCTCACCAACCTTACTTAAGCTTTCACCAGGACAGAGCTATCCTCGTTTCCTCTTTACCTAAAATGGTCTCTGGCTTCCGCATCAATCAGGACATTGCCCACCCAGCATTCTTTCAGAATCCTGCATCTGATTTGTAAGGGATGCTTCATTGCCTTGAGGTAGGAGCCCCCGGTGGTGCAATGGATGGCAAAACATCCGGGTGCCCCCTGGGCAGCGTCCTTGCAGATGGACAATTCTTTCACACCAGAAATGACTTGCGGTTTCTCAAGTCGCTCCTGACACACACAAAAATGTCTTGAGGTTAAGAGGGCTCTGAACTTTTATGTCAATAGGACTGCATCTTGTTATTCTTCCAAAATACTTGGTCTCAAAATGTGTAGGAACTACAATTTGATTAGCTTATGCTGGTAAGCAGCCTCCACAAGCTGGTAAGCAGTTAGACAGCATTTCTCAACCTGAGGGTCAGGACCCTTGCGGGGGTCACGAAGTGGTTTCAGAGGTTCGCTAAAGACCATCAGAAAACATATATTTTGATGGTCTTAGGAACCCCTTTGGCAGAGAAAGCCAAAAGATCTATCGTTGTTTGAGTCCACAGTACTCTCTGGATGTAGGTGAACTACAACTCCAAAACTCAAGGTCCCAAAGAGGCTGTCATAAAGCTGTTGGCCTACCAAACCCTTCCAGTAATTTCTGTTGATCATGGGAGTTCTGTGTACCAAGTTTGGTTCAATTCTATCGTTGGTGGATTTCAGAATGCTCTTTGATTATAGGTGAACTATAAATCCCAGCAACTACAACTCCCAAATGACAAAATCAGTTCTCCCCCCCCCCCAACCCAGATTTGGATGTATCAGGTATTTGTGCCAAATTTCATCCAGTGAATGAAAATACATCTTGCATATCAAATATTAAGTACCTTACGATTCATAACAATAGCAAAATTACAGAAATAGTAACAAAAATAATTTTATGGTTGGGGGTCACCACAACATGAGGAACTGTATTAAGGGGTCGCAGCATTAGGAAGGTTGAGAAACACTGTGTTAGAGGATACTCCACCAGAGCAGTGGCTGCCTGAGCTGCCATCATGAGAGGCATCCCTCTCTATTTCATCTGTAAAACTGCAACATGATTGACCCCATTGACTTTCATGTTACATTATCATGTAGACTCTAGATCTGTGAGCAGCAGTGCGTTTGGGACAATTATCTTATTTTCATGTGTGGTATGACACCTGTCTCATGCAATTAGTAGCTGCCTAGCCACCCATTTGTGTGATTCACAGAGACCATGAAGGAGGAGGATGGGTCGCTAAACCCCACAGGCGTGGCTCGTCTGGACGAGGGAGAGGGCCTTCTCTGTGGTTGCCCCCCAGCTCTAGAACTCGCTCCCTAGGGAGATTAGGCAGGCACCCTTTCTGGCAGCCTTTAGAAAAAGCTTAAAAACCTGGCTCTTCCGCTGTGCTTTTGGGGATTGAACTATCAATTTCCATGCCACATCCTGTCCCAGGACCAATTTATCTCTCTGATGCCCTTCATCTTATCCCTCGGTTGAAGATTAACTCCACTGTTTTCTCGTTTGACCCTCTCGCTAGTTATAGCACTTTCTATCTATCTCACCCATGGGTCTTATCAATTATTACCCATTGCATTTGGCCCAGCTTACTTTGTTTAAGTTTTTTCCCATTTTATCACTTGTTTTGTTGTGGTTTTGTCATTTTCATTTCATCATTATGTTGTTATTGAGCATTTTATTTGATGTTACTGGTTGTTTCATATGTATTCTCATTTATTATAATTTGTTAGGGCTTGGCCTCATGTTAGCTGCCCCGAGTCGAGATGGTGGCGGGGTATAAATAAAGTTGTTGTTATTTGAGTGGTTGTCTGTGAAATTGCACAACCCAGCATATCCTCCTCACTTTGTGTTCTGCCATTCCTAGTGACATTGGCTGCTGCTTGGGTGGCCATGGAACTGGGGATTTGGCAGGGCCACCCATAAATAATGGCTGAGAGAGTGGGTGGGGTTATCTTTAGAATTCTAGAAGGTTCCAAGCAGTGCTCTGTACAAGTACAGGATAATCTATTTGTATGATTTCAGATATGACTGCTCAAAGAAACAGTTAAAAGTAGGCAATTTATCTTTCTAAATGCTATGTTTCCTGAACTCAATTTATGTTGTCAATGAGAATGCTGATTTGTTAACACAAGAGTATTATATCCCTCACTGCTGCTAATGTAGACTTACTGCTGCTTGGTGTCTTTTAGGACTACAAGGTTCCAGGCACGCGGCGACTGCATGAAGTATTAGGGGTTGAAAATGGGGGCCCAGGCGGGCGCCGTGCAGGAGAACAGGGCCATTCCCCTTCTGACTACCTGAAGTTCAAGGACTTGGTATTGCGCATGTTGGACTATGAACCCCGTAGCCGCATCACCCCATTCTATGCTCTGCAGCACAACTTCTTCAAGAAAACTGCTGATGAGGGCACCAACACCAGTGCCAGCACCTCTCCTAGCCTGGGAACTGAGCACAGCCACTCTACCAGCACCACCAGTTCTGTATCCAGTTCTGGTATGTCACATCACTAACATTATTCTCAGCCATGTTGATTATATATTAGAAGCACATCTTTCTTCATGCAAAAAAGAGTGTCTCATCTAGCTGCTACCACCAGTGCTTTGAAATCCACTTATCCCTGTTCTGCTTTGCTGACTATCTAACATTCTCTTCTGACAGGTGGTTCCAGTGGTTCTTCCAATGACAACCGTGGTTACCGTTACAGCAATCGTTACTATGGCAGCATGGGCACTGTGCATGCGGACTGTGAGATGCAGAGCCCCCAAGTACGTTGCATGTCAGAACTTGGCCATTTTGGTTTCCAGTGGCCGCCTTTCATATCACCCCAATCCTTCCCTTTTTTTTTTTTTCTTGAGATTTTCCTCTCAGTGCTGCCATGTTCTCCTTTCCTTCTTATTGCAGGCACCCCCTCAGCAGCAGATGCGTCTTTGGGCCAGCGGCGACAACGAGAGTATTCCTCACATCTTACCTCACAAGCCCACACCAAGCCAGGCCATGCCATGTTTTCCCCCGAGTGGGCACCCTCCGTACCAGCGCCCTCCGCTTCCACTATCTCCCCCTCTCCCAGAGGCCATGGAGGTGTCTCTGGGCCCTCGCCATCTAGACTGCAACCCCACGGGGCTGGGCTCTTCCACCTTGCACTTGGGCGCCTCAGCCTTCCGGACTAGGACTGCTGGTGGCTCGCGCCCTGAGGGACTCGGCCTCAATTACCCTCTCCGTGGGCGCGGGCACCGAGACACTGATGAGACTGCACTGATGGGTGTCTGTGTGCCCCAGGGCACCGCTGCCAGCTCCTGATGATGGACTGGCCCGGCAGGCTAGGAGCCAGTGCCCGGCAAGAGCACTCCCTTGTTGCACCAGAGCCTGGACGGGCCAGGACTGACTGTAGGGCAGGGAACCAGGGCCCACAGAGCACTTCTCCAGCTATGAGAGTCAGAGTGGGCCAGGACTTGCGGTGGGATGGGGTCAGGCTGCCTGGCTGTGACCAGTCTAGAGACCAGGCCCTCTTGCTACCCGGGAACGTGCTGCAAGCGGTAAGCATTGTTGGGGGGAGGGGAGGGGGGAATAGAGCAGGGGAAGCATGTGGAGCCAGCATCCTACCGCCCTTGCAGCCTGGATGCCACTTTCCTCCTTTTGGTCAGTGCTTTCTCTGAGTTGTGTGGTCCTTCCTGGCCACAGGCCCCTTGTGAATCACTCAGCGGCATGTGGCCTGACAGCCATTCCCTTCCCTGGTGCAAGAGATTTCAACCTTCTGTGCTTGGATGGACATACAGACTCCTGTGCACTACGTGGACATATGGGCTTGGTGGCCTGTGTGGTCCCATGGGAATTGCTGCTAAAACTTCCCCCTGCTTGGAAATAAAGGGTTGCCCCAACCAGCGAATGTTTATGCTGTCTCGTGCAGCCATCTTGGACCTGCCTTTTGTTATGTGTACATGAGGGGAGACAGTGCCTAGTTCTTTGCTCTGGCATCATTGGGGGGATTGCCACAGTATCTTATGGAAGTGGCAAAGTGGGACCTGAGCTGGACCATGGCTGTGAATTTTTAACTCTGCCTTAGGTAAGCTCATGCTTCTTTGCACAATATTCAGTCACCTGAACTCAGGCTGTTTCCTTACGATTCTGCTTTCTTGAAGTGTGGAAGCTGTGCAAAGAATGAAAGATGTGGCCTGTATTGTATCACAGTTCCTTATTCCTTGGCCCTTAACACACAAGCACACCAGTGTTGTTTTCGTTTTTGCCTTTCTCGTATATATGTATGTATATATGTATGAATGAAAGGCAAAAACGCTTTAGCAGCAAGGCTGAAGTCTTCTGGAGAGCTATCCTCCACATAGCACTTGCAGGTTGTTTGCTAGGTGCTTAGTACTGTGTGCTGTGCAGCCAAGAACAGGGTTAATAGCTGGCCAGAATTAGAGGGGCTTGTGTGTTAGTACTGTAATATAGCTGTGTCCTTTTCATGTTGAATGGTTCTGGCAACGTTTTCTTCTTTTAGCAGGATGAGACTCAGCTGGACCTTACAAATGAAGATGTTTTGTCTAGAAAAATGGCTATGGCCTGCGCAGAACCTTGGAGTCACTGGTGTGTTTTAGCATAATACAGTTCCAACAGTACAGTTTGTGCAAAGGCAAGTGAAAGCAAATTGCTCTTGCCAGTGACGCTTGGACAAGAGGATAGCTGTTGCGGCCAGGGCCTATGTGCCCCGCCACTAGAGAGCAGTGGAAAGAGCTCTCAGGCAAAATGCAATGTGTTGATGAAGATGTGAGGTGATTGGATTTGGCTTGTGTTGGTGGTACCTAGCTTTTTTTAAGTCCAGAAATTGATGAAGAGTATATGCTAGCTGGGTGCTATCTATCATGTATGTACACAGCTACATTCAGGCCTATGCTCGCTGTAGAATAGCAGGGCATTTGATCCTGGGATTCAGTATCCTTAGAATCTCAGCTGTTTTCAAGAATCCATTTCTTCTTGTCCTGGTCATAAATACCAGTTGGAAAGTGCAGATAACTTGGCAGCTCCGTAGGATTTCTGCTAGTCAGGACAGGGGTGTTACAATTCCCAGTGGTGCCTCTTGACCTCTTCTTTTTTTTTCTTTCCCCTCCCCAAAACAGTTATGTGAAACAAAACATATTTGTATAACTTACACAGGGTACAACATTTTCTCAGTGCAGCCATTTTGTTATTTAGAGCATAATACGCATATCCTTGAATATATAGAGAACAGAGGAGAGTTGAGAGTTTTAGTAGTCGGACATGATGCAGGGACACTGGTGTCCAGACAAAAAACATGGGTTGTAGTTGGGCTCAAAAGTATTTGATTGTGCTTCAGAACAAATGTCATATTCAATGGGAAATTAAATGGAGGCTCACTAGAACTGCTAAGAAAGAACTTGCTGCTGAAACAGAGAGAATCCTCAGCCATGGCCACTCACTAGCATGCAAGTTCCCAGCTGTGCAGATTTTGCTACCCTTAATTTGTTACATTGAACCAAACAAGCTTTTATAGCCAGTTGCTTAACTTGGGAATGTATTCCATTAGTTTTCTACCCCTATTTAAATGATAAATGTTTAGAAGTGATAATCTGAGGGTACTGTGTTCTTGCTCCCTGCCTGCCCCATCATCACATGGGGCTCAGCTTTCCATACAATCATCCATATCCTTCAGCGTGAGTTCACATAGTTAAAATGAAAGCAAATAGCTTTACCACCTCAAACTTGTCTCCTGTGTTTTAAATAATTGCCTGGACTGGGAATAATTGCTGAGCTGGCAGCTGGCATGTTTCTGTTAGTAGTTGGCCACTATCATGGAGTATCTGAATTTCACTTTGTATTTAAAGATACACCGTTCTCCTAAAAACGTATCTTCAGACTGTATGTACTAAATATTTGTGCAAATGCACAAGAAAAGAAAAGAAAATATGTTCATCTTTAATATCCCAGCCTTTCCACCTGTTCCTCTCTAGAAAGAATGTCCCTGTGACTACAGGTAATTGTGGTTAATGTCACATGCTTCAAAACCACACACTTTCAGTCTTAAGTGAAAGAAACAGCATGGTAATGTTAAGCACCATGTTCCATGGTTCCTTGCAGAAGTCGGTTACAACTTGCGGGAGCTGGATGGAAGCCAACAGTGTGTCTGTTTGCTTGTTAACTGAAAGACAAGAGGGGATATTTTTAAGAGACCTACAGGATGTTTCAAAATGATGGACCCAATTTGAAATAGTAATATCTCTGCAACCACATGAATAAAACTATTACCCATTGAAAGGTTGAGGCATAGTTTTGAATGATTACTGCTAGACGCTTCTCCCAGCGCACAATGAGCCCGTGGCCTCAGTCATTTGAAGATGACAAGCCCCCAACATAAATCGTAATAAAATATTCTCCACTTGCAGGGTATTTTTTAAAATGTTTCTGGCTCCAAATGGTTAATAAAATGTGATAACCCATTAAACTGTTTGTAACTTTTTGTGTAATTGTAAAATGCTGGTGCACTTGTATACTGCTTTGAAATTGGGTCCATTATTTTGAAACACCCTGTATTATTCAATAAGAATACTGCACAGGGGCCCACGGCTGTGATCGGTGTCACCTAGATATTTAAAGTGCATCTTGGAAGACAAAGAGTGCCTCCCAATATGTACGATACTTCATGCCTTTCATTCCGAATGGCATCAGGGTTGCATTTTGGGATGAGCTAGACTACAGTGGGCTGAATGGGAGGTTTTGCTATAAACACAAATGTTACCTTAAGCTGTGGGATACAAAAAGCCAACTGCATGAAGCAGATAACCCCAAATGCAGCTTTCCAAGTAGCTGCTAGGAGCAGTGATTATTAGTTACCAAGTCAATCTAATATGGAAAATGGTTCTCTTCTGGTGCTGCATCTTTACTTCTCCTTGACAAGGAGATAAATATCTCTCAAGATGTCTACCACTTCACAGCATGTGCAGGTCACATTTTTAAAGCATACCTACTGCTATTCCAAATTAAAATGTGTCTCTAACTGGCCTTTTAAAAAATTCATAATTTTAATGACTGGGTTACTTGTAAGATATTTCAGGCTGCTATATTTGAGTTCTATATTTGAGAACGTATTTGGTTTTGGGCCTGCTCAAATTCTCTGTACTATGGAAGTACAGAATGCTACTGATCATATCGTGTAACAATTTCATAACAACTGCAACTTTTTAAAACTCAATTTATAAGGCTTGGGAAATGACCTTGCAATTTTATCATGTTCAGATTCCTCAGGGGGAAAAGTAACTTCACATATACAAAATACACTTACAGTATTATGAGCCATTCCTTCGTACCAGCATTCACTTCACACTGAAATCCTGTTCCTTGGTACCAGTCTACAGGGGCCTCTCCAATGAATATAAAGGTGGTTCATGTATTGGACTTCTTCCAGAGCCCTGTCCCTTTCCTCTATCAAGCACTGCTTGACAGCTGTATCTTGGCTTTTCCGGGGCCTTGGCAAGTATTCTTGCTGCTCATATCAAGTATTTAGTGGCAGCTTGTAAAGACTTACACTTACCATAACAGCTCCTATTTCCACTATCCAATAAGTCACTTGAGCCTTTGGCTTTTTATGATCTATATGACTTCTGATGTGAGAAAGAGCTGTTCAAGTGGTAGCTGCTTCCAGCAGCAGAACATATGAGCCATTATGTCATACAAAGTCACCCCTGCTTTGTTAGTCCCGGGACTGGATATTCCTTTTTGCTGACAGTTGTGTCTGCTCTCACCTTATAGGACATCCAGTGTTCTTTGGAATTCTATCATTGGCTTTGACATGTTTCCTGCAGTTTCTATTCAATGTATCCTCAGATGGGTTTAGCTAGTATTCAGCTTGTGTGTGGGATTGCAGCCAAGCAGCCTCCTGTTCAGGTGGGTGGCTTTGGCTTCACAGAGGGGCACAAGTGGGTTTACATGCTCAAGTGGGTTTAACACGAACCTCAACTTTGGCTATGTAATTTAGTCAAAAAAGGTATGTGCTAGACTAGTAACTTGCCAGTCATCAATTGATCTGATTCACAGAAACCATGAAGAAGATTGCTTACCTGTAACTGTTTCTGCAAGTGGTCATCTGTGAAATACACTACTGCACCCATTCACACCCCTCCTTTGTCATGTTCTGCCTCTCTTTAGATGCTTGGGTGCTGCTTGGGTGCCACGGAACAGGCTTAGGAGGGAATTGTAGGGATGTGGCACCCAGGGGGTGGGCAGGGCATCTACCAAAATGTACCATTAAAGCTCTAGAACAGGCCTGCACAACCTCCTAGGTGTTTGGGACTCAGACCCCCAGAAGCCCTATCCAGCTTGTCCAATGACCAGGAATCCTGGGAGCTGGGGGCCTCTGGGTTGCACAGGCTTCCTCTAGAAGATCCTGGATAGTGCTCCATGCAGGATAACCCATTTGTTGTCATTTCACAGATGACCACTTGAAGAAAGACAGTTACAGATAAGCAATCTGTCCTTTTATGTCCTGCCGCTAAAAAGCTTTTTAACTTTCAACTTGCTTTTTAAAAGGCCATCTCATTTTAAAAATAAACTTCCTCTTCTTTAAAAGCACACTGCCATTTATTTGGCAAATTCTCTCTGAACACCTAAGTTCAATTTGATAGCACTGTAGCACAGCAGCTGTGTTGAATTCCCTTTGATCACCTTTCCATGTCACTCCTTCAGGCAGTACAAACGGTCCCTCAACTTGGATCTTGTTCTAAAAAGACACAACCACCTGGGATCCTCTGAATTGTTCCCAGTAGAGGGAGGCACACTGAACACGATGGACCAAAAAGGTCTCACCCAGCAGGGCCATCAAGATATTCTAGCAGATTTCTCAGGGACTCTCCTTGCCAGATCTGATATGCCCATTTTAGGAGAATCCTTTGAAGTGGGCACCTACAGTAATGCACTGCTGTGCTGATTCAGGCTGAGCAATAAGAAGGGTCACAAAGGTGGCTGTCTTGAGCAACAGTTCAGAAGGATTGTTTTGTGTTTTTTCACAATGGTCAAAGTACATTGTCTCGATTGTGAAGCTTGTTGACAAAAGGTACCAAATCCCAACTGAATAAATCATAGAACCATTGAGTTGGAAGAGACCTCATGGGCTATCCAGTCCAACCCCCTGCCAAGAAGCAGGAAAATCGCATTCAAAGCACCCCCTGATAGATGGCCATCCAGCCTCTGTAAAAGCCTCTGAAGAAGGAGCCTCCACTACACTCCGGGGCAGAGTTCCACTGCTGAACAGCTCTCTTTCCAGTTAGGAAGTTCTTCCTAATTTTCAGCTGGAATCTCCTTTCTTGTAGTTTGAAGCCATTGTTCTGCGTCCTAGTCTCCAATCAGCAGAAAACAAGCTTGCTTCCTATGACTTCCTCTCACACATGTAGCCATGGCCATCATGTCTCCTCTCAGAGGAGACATGGAATTGGAGGAATTCTTAGAGGAATTGGAAAAAAGTATAGAGGATATGATTTATTTCCCCTATAAAATGCAATTTTCAAATACTTGTACCAAAGTGATTTGATGCATTTTGATAGTTTTGATCTGTACATAATATCACAGGAATTCAGAAAAGGTTCCACTTGCTTTTAGCAAATCAGAAGACTAGCTGAGCCCCACAGTTGAGGGAGCAGACAACCCTGAGATATACTCCTCATCCAAGGGGGAAAATCCCATGTGAATGTTTCTGCAGCAGAAGCTCATGATCAGAACACAAACCTGGGTCAAAGCTAAGTGGAAGAAATATAAATTATTGTGACATTCTACCATGACTCCCCAAGCCCTGCTGATACTTTGCATATAGGCACACAATTTCCTCAAATACAAACCAGTACCTGCTGGAGGCAAAATCATTCCATTGCTTATATGTTGGCAGCTTTGGAAGCAGAAGAAACAGCACAGGCTTCTTTCCAACCAACTAAACCTGTCCTGGAAAAGAGCACAGCTCACCTCAAGTATTCCCCAGCTTTTGTCTCCAGAAGAAAAATTTCCACTTGGTGACACACTTGTAAAATAAATTGCACTTTAATAAGAAAAACCATGGTGCAGCAACAGGGGAGGTTCAGACTGCAAAGGTCAGTCTCACTGTGCTGCTCCTTTAACCAAGGTATGAAAGGCATCTCACAAGCTAAGTCCCCAAAAGTCAGGCTCCACTACCACCCAAGATAAAACTGCTGGGGGCAGTGGAAGGAAAGTGTGTATAAAGTTCCCACTGAACAACTACCCTGGCATGTTGCTGGCCACTGCAGTCTCCCCATGACACAACGGCAGTGCTCAGGGCTAGACATCCCTTTCTGGATTCTTTGGTTTTCTCAGTCCAGGAGCAATGTCAAGAGGGAGGCTCTTGTTCCATGCCACTCCGAAGCAAGTGCCTCACGTGGACCGTTGCATTCCCTTCTCAGTGCCAATGAAGACAGTGATATTTGTGTAGAGAGGATGCAATTCCTTGGAAAGCAGCTGGTATTCCAATGTGTTCATGCCATCCTGTTTCCACGTTCTCCTTGTCTTGGCCAGCAAGTTAAATCTGGAAGAAAAAGTAACAAGGAAAACCTATTCAAGCATTGCCTTCTCTCTACTGATACGTTTGTGGTTTAGGGGTAAACCGCATTCTTTTTACAGTGATTTCTAGTGAAATAGTATTATTTAGACAATATTCTGCAGTGTGGTAAAGAGCACACAATCCGTTTTCTATAACAAAGAGTATATCAATTATTTCCCATCGTGGTCAACTGTGAATCGCACAGACAGCTCAGGTGCAGAATCTACCATATGTGTGAATTCACAGGTGACCACTCGGGAAACTACGGTTACAAGTAAGCAACCTATATTTAAGTGGCTTGTCTGAAGAAAGTTCACAGGGTATGATGAGGAACACATAGGTTGAGAAAGGGATAGAGGAGTAACACTGGTCAAAAAAAGTCCAGTTTTAAAAATAGGAACTTTATGGTAATGAGAAGTGTTCTGAGTTAAAGAAATTATCTCAGGAAACACACAATTGGGCCAAAAAAACAACAACATGCAGCCCTAAGAAGAAAATATTAACAATGAATAAAAACCAAGCAGCATTCAGTGCTGTTATAGCTTAAATTTAAGATTGATCAGAATTAGTAAGCTTTCTATAGTGACAAGCATTTAGTCCTGATTATTTGGCTCCACAAAAATACGATTGTAAGAAGACCTGCCCCACAATGACAAAAAAACACCCATAGCATAAAAATAAAAGCACCTATATAGCTCTAACATAACAGCACTGGACCCCTTCTTCCTCAACTACAGTGCATCTTAAGGAATTGTCCCAAGTTGTCATCTCTAGTGTGTTAATCCTAGCTAAACACACAGCTTTCTTTTCTTTCACAAAGTTCAGTTGAAAATAATACAAGCCATCATATAAGTTTGACGACGGTCGGGCTTCAATGTCACATGGACAAAACAATAATTTATTCTCCATGAGTTGTCGAAGGCTTTCATGGCCAGAATCACTGAGTTGTTGTTTATATTTTTAATGTACCAAACATACCAAGTTTGTATGAAAATGTGACTATTTCCTGTGCTGGTCAATGACCGAAATAAATGATTTGATTTGATTTGATCACTGAGTTGTTGTGAGTTTTGCGGACTGTATGGCCATGTTCCAGAAGCATTATCTCCTGATGTTTTGCCCACATCTGGCAGGCATCCTCTGAGGATACCTGCCATAGATGTGGACAAAACGTCAGGAGAGATTGCTTCTGGAACATGGCCATACATACAGCCTGCAAAACTCGTAGCAACCCAATATTCTCCATGAGTTGTTTACTCTGGTAGCTTCTGTATCACAAATACATCCTGTGTAGCATAGATTCTGCCGATATTAACAAAGCTTGCAGAGAACAAAAAGGAAAGGGCTTGTGCACATTTGGCTATCTGGGTTTATGTAGCAGAAACCTGGTTGTCCAAGAGTGATTTCTTCCCCTAGGAGTTCTCTCCCACTCACCTTTTGGGGTTCTGCTCATTGCCCTTGTCGTGTCCATGTTTGATCATACGGTAACGGCCATGCTGAACAGATGGGCGGGAGATCACCATCCCACTCAACGCCACCCTGGAGGAGAAGAGACAGACATTTTGGCATCGGTTGGAACCTAAAAGTGCCTCCAACACATGTACAGGTATGTCAACAGTCAAGACACCCCATGCAGTACACTCGGTTTCAGCATCTTCAGATCTATCCCACTGCATTTGTGACTTCCTTCCTACACCCCAGAAAAATATATATAAACTCGTTTCCTGATCCACCCCAATCCCTGTTCAGGTTCTGCTTGTTTATTTTTATTTATTTATGACATTTATATCCCGCCCTTCTCACCCCGAAGGGGACTGAGAGCAGCTTACAAGTTATATGTACATACAATATATTGTATTATTAGTATAGCACAATATTAGTATATATTACTGTATTGTACTATACCACTATACTGTAATATCATTAGTAATATTACATGTAATATAAAATTTATAATTATTATATTGTATTATTAGTATTATATTGTTTTACAATATTATGATCAATATTCTATGTACATATAATATATTTATTAGTATGGCACAATATTAGTATTATATATTACTATATTGTACTATACCACTATACTTGTTCTACACAGGCTCTAGGGCAGTGGTTCTCAACCTGGGGTCCCCAGATGTTTTTGGCCTACAACTCCCAGAAATCCCAGCCAGTTTACCAGCTGTTAGGATTTCTGGGAGTTGAAGGCCAAAAACATCTGGGGACCCCAGGTTGAGAACCACTGCTCTAGGGATTACCACATGCCTTGGGAGCCAGGATTCCAGAGGTCCCACCCTGCATTTATGACAGGCCTGCCTGTGCGCAATAGGTGACTGAATGCCTGACAATATATCTGTTTGCTCTTCTGTCACTAAGATTTTGCAGGAGAATTCTTACCGGACTGCAATGTCGTCATCTTCACCGCCCCAGCCCCAGTAGTTGTTGGGAAAGCCATTCATCTTCATATATTGCTCTGGACTGAGTGCTGCAACACCTCCAAAGTAGGACTTGTAGGGAAGCCTAATTAATTGAAACAGACCATTTATAAAGCAGTAGGTTACCAACTAATACTGTGTACTGAGAATCTCAAGAGAAAATCCTACAGAATCTCTTCTAGCATTTAGAATCCCCTGCGATAGAACAGAGTTGCAATCTAAGGATGATACAAAGAGGGACATGAGATTGGGGGGGGGGGGGGGGGGAAAAAATAGATTCAAATGTGAAATCTTATGTAACTCTTACATGAACCAAATAAAACAGCCAATTCTGAGAGAGAAGAGGTAAAATAGCAGTAAAGGTAAAGGTTTTCCCCTGACATTAAGTCCAGTCATGTCTGACTCTGGGGTGTGGTGCTCATCTCCATTTCTAAGCTGAAGAGCCAGCGTTGTCCGTAGACACCTCCAAGGTCATGTGGCCGGCATGACTGCATGGAGCGCCGTTACTTTCCCGCTGGAGTGGTACCTATTGATCTACTCACATTTGCATGTTTTTGAACTGCTAGGTTGGCAGAAGCTGGGGCTAACAGCAGGCGCTCACCCCACTCCCCGGATTTGAACCGCCAACCTTTCGGTCAGCAAGTTCAGCAGCTTAGTGGTTTAACCTGCTAATCCACCAGGGATTTCATGTTACTCTTAACAGTGGGAGCTCATGCAGCTCTCCGGATTTGAACCTGCGACCTTTTGGTCAGCAAGTTCAGCAGCTCAGCAGTTTAACCCACTGCGCCACCAGGGGCTCCTATGAATAACAGTGAGTCCAGTCAAATTAAAACTCCACTGTACCCTCTCCTCTCCAACATAGAAATGATTTTAGGTCTTTCATGAGCAGCACTATATTCTATTTCAGAGGAAGCCATTTTGGAGCTACAGTCTTTCTTGCAGCAATGTTCATAAGCAACTGAAGCCCAAAGTACGGATTCAAGCCCAGATCTCCCTGAGCTTATGTCTAACAATAAAGCTATTGCAACACACACTATTCCCACTGCCAGGTTAGCAGTAGGAATAGTGTGAAAAGGAACTCTTTTTAGCACAGTTTTATTTTTGAAAAGAACGAAAACATAAAGGATATCTATTTTGAAAAGGAAAGAGTTAAGGTGGACAGAAATAAGAGAGGGGCACTCTGGGGGGAAGGAATATCATGCCTGGTTAACTCACTTGTAGCCAAACTTGTCCATAGCAACAGCCACATGTTTAGGAAACCGGTCACAGGTATACATGTTGCGATCATCTTCAGGGATAAGGTCCACATCATGGAAGAAAATACAGTCCCAGTCCTCATCCTTCATAGCCTCCTTAAAGCCCACATTCAAGAGTTTGGCTCTATTAAAAATGTAGTTCTCGGCCTGAGAAAGATGAGTGATAGAAGTAAATGCACATATTCACAACCCACACTAAAAGACTTCTTCCATGACACAATTCTTTCACAATTAGACATTACTGCTCATGATATGCATGCCAGCTTTACGAACTTTTAATAGGACCTCAGTTGTCCAACTCTAAGGTTCCCTGGCTGACCTCCTCCCACTTCAAGGATCTCAAGGATACTGGCTTACTCCCAACACTCCCTTCTGTTCTACTGTTGTCAGGGCATCTGGCTTGGGTTCAGCTCTTCAGCACGACTTGCTGCTTATTGCCCCCCACTACTGCCTAGCACTGAAACCATCTTTGGTTGGCTATCTGCCTACTGTGAGAATTCCAAAGGAGAGAGACAAAGATGAGACTGCTAGGGTTGCACTCCATTGTCCTAATTGCAGGGGAAAATATTCCAATGGAGAAACAGAGAGAGGGTATGGGGCCACTGCCAGGTTCCTGCAATTGGCAGAGAGGAACTGTGGCTCTCTTTCCCACTCATGTTGCTGGAAATGTAAGATACTCCACTTAGGTAGAAAAAAATGAAATGCAAAAATACAGAATGGGGGAAGTCTGGCTCGATAGTACGTGTGAAAAAGATCTTGGAGTCCTTGTGAACAACAAGTTAAACATGAGCCAACAATGTCATGTGGCAGCTAAAAAAAGTGAATGGGATTTTGGCCTGCATAAACAGGAGTCTATTGCCTAGATCCAGGGAAGTCATGCTACCCCTCTATTCTGCCTTTGTAAGACCACACCTGGAATCACACTGTGTCCAATTTTGGGCACCGCAATTGAAGGGAGATGTTGACAAGCTGAAATGTGTCCAGAGGAGGGCGACTAAAATGATCAAGGGTCTGGAGAACAAGCCCTATGAGGATCGGCTTAAAGAGCTGGGCATGTTTAGCCTGCAGACGAGAAGGTTGAGAGGAAACATGATGAGGGCCATGCATAAATATGTGAGGAAATCATTGGAAGGAGGGAGCAAGCTTGTTTTCTGCTGCCCTGAAGACAAGGACTCAGAACAATGGCTTCAAACTACAGGAAAGGAGATTCCACCTGAACTTTAGGAAGAACTTCCTGTGAGAGCTGTTCAGCAGTGGAACTCTCTGCCCTGGAGTACGGTGAAGGCTCCTTCTTTGGAGGCTTTTAAGCAGAGGCTGGATGGCCATCTGTCAGGGGTGCTTTGAATGAGATTTTCATCCTTCTTGGCAGGGAGTTGGACTGGATGGCCATTGAGGTCTCTGCCAACTCTATGATTCTATGAAAGACCCTGCACTCCCAGTTTTAATTTCAAGATTTGCCTCTTCCCTGAGAAATAATTCTGCTATTTAATTGCAGGTAAGCAGTGACCCATTGAATCTATTGCTTTTGTGATGAGCCAACACATTGGCCAATCCAATTGATTCAATGGATCTGGTCTAGTAAGAACAAATAGTAGGATTTAGGTCCGCATTTCCTCCATTTCCAGCACAATCCTATGTTTCCTGCCTCCCCAGGCTCTCAACTACTACTATACCTGATGGATGATGTAGATGCCATAGCTAAGCTGCTGCCTTTGTAAAAACGGATGCAGGTAGTAGAGCAGATACTTCAAGTGCTGCTCCCGATTGCGATGGGGAATGATCACAGCTGTTTTATGGGTGGAATCACAGTCTGGGGGCCGGTAGCGACCCCCTTTGCTCACATAAGGATTCTTCCGCACAATGTCTTCCAGTGTCAGGCCTGGAGGAAAGGACACCCGAATGGGGCCTCCTGCAGATGGATAGAGACGTGTCAGTAAACACACCATGTGTCAACAGATTGGACGCCTCCCTCACAGCAAACCAAACTTCCAATAGAAAACAACTCAATATATTTTCCTTATAGATCAAACAGAGTTACAAGACTAACTTGTTTTTTATTCCAATGTCTTTATTTTCACCACCCACTTTATTCCTGGTCATATTGTCAACCTTCAATTATGTAATCATTATTTATTTATTTGACCAGTCATATGACAATTTCAAAATACAGCTTCAATGATGCATTTAACGTCTTCAATTATCATTTCTAGGAGGGGAAAAATAAGTGAAAGGAGAGTCAATTCTTTCTGTTCATGAATGTGTAAACGTATGCAACTGACTAAAGAGTCTGTTTAAAGATGGACCCATAAATTACAAGTTCCATTTTCGTCGGTTCCTGAAACTATAGCTTTCTATTCACTAGTTAGTGTTATAGTGCACTCAAGTTGCAATGACAAAAAATTGCTGTTCTTTTTTATTGGACCAGCCAGACATGTATAAGTGTTCCAGAAGAATACCATCGTTAATGGTATCGAAGCCGCTGAGATATCTAGAAGCACCAATAAGGACAGAGCCCCCGGTGCCATAATGGGTTAAACCTTTGTGCCAGCAGGACTGAAGACCGCCAGGTTGCAGGTTCGAATCTGGAGAGAGTATGGATGAGCTCCTTCTGTCAGCTCCGGCTCCCCGTGTGGGGACATGAGAGAAGCCTCCCACATGGATGGTAAAACATCAAAAACACCCGGGCATCGCCTGGGCAACGTCCTTGCAGACAGCCAATTCTCTCACATCAGAAACGACTTGCAGTTTCTCAAGTCACTCCTGACACACACACACACAAAACCCAATAGGGACTCACTCCTCCTATCAGTGTTAAGACGGAGATCGTCCACTAAATCAACCATAGCAGTCTCAACTCTGTATCCTGCTGTGAAGCCAGTTTGAAATGGGTCAAGGAAGTGTGTGTCATCCAAAACTGCCTGGAATTGGCGAGCAACTGCCTTCTCAATCACCTTGTCTAAAAAGAAATTACGATTGGACACTGGTCTGTAATTATTAAGTTCCACAGGACCCAGGGAGGGGGCCCTTTCAGTAGCAGTCTAACTACTGTTTTTTTTTAAACAGGAGAGAAAGTTCCCTTCCCTGAGAGATGCACTGATAATGTGTTGTATTTGAGATTGAATTGCATCTCCTCTCTGGATGACAAGCAAGAGGGGCAGAGGTCAAGAAAACAGATTGTGCTCCTTACTTGTCCCAGCAGCTTGTCTGCATCAGCAGTACTCACCAACTGAAACAGATCCAGTGTAATCCCACTCAAAGAGTCATTAAAGGCATCACAATGAGCTACTGAAGGTACTACCAGCAGGCTCAAAGGGGAGGGTACCTAGGATAGACTGCTCACTATCCTAAACAGCTCAGCTGGACGCAATACGTGCGGAAAAGAAAGCTTCATTTGCTGCACATATTGCCACATTATAGAAAAAAAGATGTCCTCTTTATCATGTCACACAGAATTCTGGCTTTCTGCCATCTGCTCTCTAGTTCTTGTCCTTCCCATTTCAGTTCCCTGAGAGTCTCTGTATACCAGGGAGCCTGGTTAGTAATGGGCTGGAGAGGGCATTTGGAGCGATTGTGTCAATAACCCTCGTTATATTTTTATTTCACTTACTCATCAGGGCATCAACATAATCATCGGTGATACCAGCCATAGAAGGCCTTCAAGGGTGGGTCATTTTAATAGATCCTCCACCCCTGAAAGAGTAGATTGTGTCAGAAATATTTAAAATTAACTAGATATTTTTAATTACATTTTTGTAATTGAGCAGTGAAAGGAATAAATGGATGCAATGACTCAGCAAAAGCTGTAGTTCAATATAAGAAGGTGTGCCTCAGTGTGACAGAAGCCTCTTTGTTTGAGAGAACGCTTCAGTAGGAGAATAGATCTCAGTGGTAGTAGGCCTCACTGTGGGAGAAAGGCCTCAGAGTGTGAGAAGGCCTGGTGTGAGAACCTTTGGTGAGAGAAGCCTCAGGTTGTAAAGCCTTGTGTGTGAAGCTCCAGTGTATAAAGGCTTGTGTGTAAAAAACTACTGTGTGAAGCTCCAGTATAAGTTCTTTGTGAGAGGAGGCTGCATGAGGAAGAAGCCCAGCATGGAAGCAAAGAAGGAAGTATAACGGACTTTGTGTTATGGAAACCTTGTTATTGTAAATAGTACAACTATATTATTTTGATATAAAGAAAAGCCTCCTATGGAAGATATAACATCGGTATGTGTGTTTTTGTTCTTTTTATCACTTTGAGCTACTGGTGCTGGGTCATGCAGCTACTAATAAGTTACTCTGCTGTACATTTATGAGAAGGGTCTTTTGTTAATAAGCCCACTCACCGTATAGATTGTAGCTGTGATACTTTAGAGATTCTTTGTGTTTATTTCTATGTTTCTAAGTTTTTATCTCAGTCAAGAGAATTAAAAGTCTTGACTAAGAACTCAACATTCACCAGAACCAGGGCTGAAAATCTAGGTGCTTTGGTTCTCTTACCAAGGAAAGGAGACACCTCTGGACAGTAAGGAAGGTCATCCGGGGGCAGAGGGGGTCGGGCAATCAAGCTGAGGTTGGCATAGACATCCCCTGGGAGCGAGGCATTGTGTAAGCTGGCCAACATTGTCAATGTGCCCCCTTTGTAGAAAATGCCTAGGAAATAGGCAACACGTTTCCGGTAGCCCTCGCGGTACAGCAGGGCCATCACCACCAGCTGTACTCCCAGGAAGAGCAGCAGGTAGCGGCCACGCACCTGCAGCATGGCGGAGCAGGGCCAGGATCATCTATCCATAGTGTAGCTGGGCCTAAAGGTGCCAGCAACAAATGAGAAAGGAAACAGTAACCTGCTGGGAACAAAAGAGTTTAAAAAGACGACTTAGTCAAATGAATCCATTCAGATAAAGAGATAGATATTATTCAGTCCCACAGATTTTTTAAAAACTCTAATTTTGATACAGAATCTTATAAAACCTTATGATAGCAAGCAACAGTTTAAGGTCATCCTTCCCTCTTTCTCTTTCACATGAGAGGACATAGACTGCAACACACACATGCAAGCCAGGCAAACACTATTTTGTTTTGATGTATTATTCATTTGTTTATATCCTACTCTTTTCCCAGCCTGGACACTCAAATTGGTCTAAAAATTTAAAACAAATACATATAAAAGTCCACATCACCAAAATTTTACAAATATTAAATAATTAGATCAGCAATTAGAATTAAAAGCATAATGATTAAAACACCACACACGCAGACAATGTAGCAGGTTATCAAAAGTCATCTCCACATAGTCATTTTCCAAAAGCCGGACACCGCAAAAAGCCTTCATCAGCTGCCAGAAAGTCACCACAGAGGTCTTGACTCCGGCAAGCGAGTTCAACAGCACAAGAAGAGTGGGTTGTGTGAGTTTTCCAGGCTGTACGGCCATGTTCCAGAAGCATTCTTTCCTGATGTTTCGCCTACAAGAGGCATTCTCTCACCTCTGCAGGAGTCTACCATATGGCATGCAGCTGTAAACAAGTCTACAAATCCAGCACCCAAATACAAATCAAGGAGCATGAAAGGCACTGCAGAGTAATTCAACCAAAGAAGTCAGCCATAGCAGAGCACCTGATGAACCAACCTGGACACAGCATATTATCTGAGGACACAGAAATGCTTGACCACTCTAACAACTACCATATCAGACTACACAGAAAAGCCATTGAAATCCACAAGCATGTGGACAATTTCAACAAAAAAGAAGAAATCATGAAAATGAACAAAATCTGGCTGCCAGTATTAAAAAACATCTCTAAAATCAGGACAGTAAATAAAGAACAACATTCAGAAAACAGGAATTCCAGACATCAATCAATTAGGGCCAGCTAACACATCCCAACAAAAGATTCCCCCAGGCAGTAGGCAGCCAAACCTTGAAGCTGAAAGGCTATTCAATGCTAATTAAGGTGGCCAATTGCAACATTCAGACCTGCCTCAAACAGACAAGAATTTTTTCTCCCACTCTGAACATTCCACAGATAAATAAACCTCAGTTGCCTGGTTTCCAACAGACCTCACAACCTCTGAGGATGCCTGTCGTAGATGCAGGTGAAACATCAGGAAATAATGCTTCTGGAACATGGCCAGACAGCCCAGCAAAGTCATAGCAACTCAGTGATTCTGGCCATGAAAGCCTTCGACAACACACAGCACAAGATCCACCAAGAAAAGTAAGTTTATGAAAATCTGACTAAATTAATAACTCTCTTGAACTGGAAATGGTCCTAGTAAAAAGAAAAAGATATGCCAGAGATAACTGTTCCAGTCAGTACATTATCAGAAAAGTATATTTCTCATTTATGTGCAGGTACAAAAGCTCAAATTCCTCATCCATGCATCCCAGTAAGAGTTAGTCCACAGCCTGGGAATTCCACGCACCAAACAGAAGACAAAGCTGCTCATCTTAAACATGCAAATGGACAGACAAGGCATATTAACAACTTACCCCTAGCTCTCCAGATGCATGAGAAGCCACATTGAAGCAAAACTAAATGTAGACTCACTAATTTGTGAGTCTACATTTAGTTTTGCTTCACAAAAACAAAGTTCTCTCAAGAAAGGTGAGGAAGGATTAGGATGACAAAGGATATATCAATACAAGCTTAAGTATGAGGAAAAGGAAAAGGGCATGAGTGAAACTAGAAGCAGGTTGGGGGAAAAGGTTTTTGTCACCCTACTCTACATACTCAGTCACATACAATCAGGAAATAAAAATAAAAAGGAACTGGGCCACATGAAAAGGTCAAAAATACTGCCAAAAGCCATCAGGAGATAAATGTTTCCCCCCCCCGTAGTATCCACTACCCAAAAGCACAGGATAATATATGCAAGTATTTTCTCAACTTCACAAAATCCTTGTTGGGAAAGATTCTGGTCACCCACACAAATCCATGGCTCATTTAGAATTATGTGCAATTTGATCATGGAATGGTCTTAGGCCTTGAACTCTGGATGGTGTGTTTTAAGCTTGAATGTATTTTTACTATATTGTAATTTTAAACCTATTTATTTTAGGTGAATTTTGTTGTTTCGAGGCATTGTGTAGGTGCCATTGTAAGCCACCTTGATTCCCCCTGCTCGGGTAGAGAAAGGCAGGATATAAATATGGTAAATAAATAAATAAATTTGGGTGGGAATCCAAGTAATTTCAGTACAGATCTAACACTCCAACCAGTATAATACTAATACACCTTTCTACAAGCACCTGCCATACTTCAAGTGGTAGAAGAGCATGCTTTGTAAGCACATATAACACTGGCCCACTAATTGTATCTTGAGACTGAAATACAGGCAGTCCCCAAGATGCAAACATCCAGCTTACATATGACACCTAGTTAAGAACAGGTGAGACAACAGAAAATGGGAGGAAATCTACCACTATGAAGGGAAATTCACTCCTGAAAGTTATCATAGGGAAAGATGTCTCCACTGAAGCTTTATCACCAGTCCTTGTTTCCACAACAACCCAAAATTTTCAAACTCCAATTATGACAGGGACAGAAAGTGAGGTGAAATATCCTGAACAGGGGCACAGACAGCAGAAGAAATATAGAGGTGTGAATCTTGCCCTGTACTATGCAAAACTAAAAAAAAAATGGCTGGAGTTACACATAAGAAATGTACCTGTTCCAATTTACATACAAATACAACTTAAGGATAAATTTATAGAACCTATCTTGCTCATCAGACATCAGACTGGCAACATCATGCGATGTGCGGGGCTGGATGAATGCAAAGCTGGGGTGAAAATTGCTGGAAGAAACATTAACAACCTCAGATATGCAGATGACACCACTCTGATGGCCGAAAGCGAGGAGGAGCTGAGGAGCCTTCAAATCAAGGCGAAAGAAGAAAGCGCAAAAGCCGGGTTGCAGCTAAACGTCAAAAAAACCAAGATTATGGCAACAAGAATGATTGACAACTGGAAAATAGAGGGAGAAACCGTGGAGGCCGTGACAGACTTTGTATTTCTAGGTGCAAAGATTACTGCAGATGCAGACTGTGGCCAGGAAATCAGAAGACGCTTACTTCTTGGGAGGAGAGCAATGTCCAATCTCGATAAAATAGTAAAGAGTAGAGACACAGACTGGCAACAAAGATCCGCCTAGTCAAAGCCATGGTATTCCCTGTAGTAACCTACGGATGTGAGAGCTGGACCTTAGGGAAGGCTGAGCGAAGGAAGATCGATGCTTTTGAGCTGTGGTGCTGGAGGAAAGTTCTGAGGAACTGTTTTTCTTTTTTTTGTGTTTTTGTTTTGCGGTTTTTTTTTTTCTTTTGTGCTTGGACAGCAAGAAGATCCAACCAGTCCATCTCAGGAAATAAAGCCCGACTGCTCATTGGAGGGAAGGATAGAGGCAAAGATGAAGTACTTTGGCCACATCATGAGAAGAAAGGAAAGCTTGGAGAAGACAATGATGCTGGGGAAAATGGAAGGAAAAAGGAAGAGGGGCCGACCAAGGGCAAGATGGATGGATGGCATCCCTGAAGTGACTGGACTGACCTTGAAGGAGCTGGGGGTGGTGACGGCCGACAGGGAGCTCTGGCGTGGGCTGGTCCATGAGGTCACGAAGAGTCGGAGACGACTGAACGAATGAACAACAACAACATCTTGCTCATAACCTAGGGACTGCCTATAGAGGCAAGTCATTTCCATACACTCCCTCCGTATAAACACCCCTTTTGCAACTGAGGCAGGAACATGAGCTGATAATCCTGAGATAGTCAAACTGGCCCTGGGGCTTCTCTCAAATTCATGGAAGGATATTTTTTTTCTGTTCTACCTCTCAAATGTAGTGTGATGCTTTTGACTCATGCTCTTGCAGTGGGTGATATGGTGGGAAAAGGACAAAGCCCTTTCACAAATTAAGATTTGTGAAAGAACTTCATAGAGTGGCCTCTCCTCTTCTTCCTTTATCAGCTTGGACATCTTGCTCTGAAAGTCTTGAGTCATTTCCTTGTTCCTTCTTAATTTTTCCATATTGGCTTTGCTCCAAGATAACTATTATGCTGGGCAGGGCATGGGCTGCCATAACAACTGTCACTCACAGTTAATGTGGAAGAGGCATTTACAGGTGCCCTGAATTATGGCTGTGAAATTTGCTTTTCCACATTGGAATCCTCTTGCCCCATCTCTTCAGAACCTGTAACTAGGTAGGCACAATATTTAAGTGATCTCCATATAGATATAACAGCTCAGGGACAATAAGGGACACGCACGCAAGTGCATAGTGAAACTTCACAAGAGAAGTACACTTTGGATGAAACTTGGAAATATATTTCTAGAATATCTCTACTCAGATCCTGTGAGCTAGAATGCCCCCTTAAAAAAAAAACTACACTTCTTAAGCTTTGCCTATAGCCATCTGTATCTTTTGGCTGAACCAACTAAAGAAACTACAAAAAGAGAAAACTACCTATATGAAAAAGGACATTTCTTTGGACTTGAATTATTTATGCAATTTCCTAATGTAAGCAGATTTGGAATGCTATTACAGCTTCTGGGATAAGGTTCCCTTTGAGGGGAAAGGAGATCTTTCCACCACAACTGGAATGTTTATTCTTTTGACCATCCTAAATCAAAGTCTGGCAAAGTGTGGTTGAGAAGATATCAACTAGGCAAAGGAAGAGTATTTATTATCTATTTCTTTACTTCATTTGTATACCCCATTTTCTCACCCCGGGGGGGGGGGGGGGGGGGGGGGGGGGGGGCTCAAAGCGGCTTCCAACATATTCAAAATTTAATGCCTCACAAACATGAAAACCTAACATAAAACAACAATAACACATATCAATTAAATAATAA